CAGAGAAAAAACGAAAAAACACCCCCTTCTAAAAGAAATCTCCGGGTGAAAAGTTAATACACCCCTTTTTTTTTTTTTACAATTCTCGGGCCGGACTTTGTCGCACGAAAAGTACCCCTTTACCGGACATTTTGGTAACACGCATGGGGTCATTCCGACCCGGAGTTGGGGGGGGGGGCGGGGCGTGGTATCTCTACCATGCTTTCATGGAACTATATGTTTTATGTTCAGGGAGTTGATAACCTTGCCATTCAATGTCCAAAACAGTTTCCACCCCAGAGTCATGATTCCTTGTACTTTTATTATAGAAAATGAGACACCTTTGATTTCAAGAGCTATATTTTCAGTATCGCTTCGCGCTTGCATTATAGTTCCAATATCTGATCGGAAGAAAAAATAGTATAATTATGATTAGTCGAAAACAATTTTTTAGGTGGGCTGTATCTAATACAGACCACCTTATAATTTTGTTAAAATTGCCTTTATTATTTCTTTATTATTAGGTGGGCTGTATCTAATACAGACCACCTTATAATTTTGTTAAAATTGCCTTTATTATTTCTTTATTATTAGGTGGCTGTATCTAATACAGACCACCTTATAATTTTGTTAAAATTGCCTTTATTATTTCTTTATTATTAGGTGGGCTGTATCTAATACAGACCACCTTATAATTTTGTTAAAATTGCCTTTATTATTTCTTTATTATTTATTTTTCTTATTTCGACCCACTTTTTTGTGAGCAAGATAATTTGAAAATGGCTCAATCAAATATCTTAAAATTTGGCACACATATGTATAGGCATATGAACAAGGCACAGCAAAGTTTTCAACCTTGACCTTGACTGATGACGTCATCTAGGCGCCATTTTGTGAAATTTTCTGAAAATTTACTCATGATCATATTTTCATAACGGTAATTCATTTCTCATTCATATTTATCACGATCAAGGTCAATATCAGTCCGTCATTTCAGGTCAAAAAACGCGCGCGTGCGCGTACGTCCGCGCGTCAGTGCGCGCGCAAAATTTTTAAATGCTCAAATTCGTCTCAAATTTATTTTGCATACGTTTCAGGTCATTTTCAGCATTTTATAAAAAATCGCGCGTACGAGCATGCGCGCGCGTTTTTCGCGCGTAACACCATTAAAAAACATAGAATCGCCATTTTTTTTTCTTTCATGATATTTCTCATATTTTTTCAAGGAATTTGATTCCATGTTTATCTCTTTATGACCATTATTAACAGATGAGCGTAATTTCAAGATAAATGTCAGTGCGCGCGAGGTCTTTTAATACATAGCATATATGGGCAAAAACATGCCTATACAAAATCCGTTATAGCTCTTTGGAATGCACCAGGATCCTCAATTTTTTTCATATTAAGATAGAGTATGAGTCGGAAATATGATTCCATGTCTAGTTTGGCCATTAAGTGTATCGTGACATCATCACAATGGCCTGGAACTCAAAATACGAATTTGCATATTATGACGTCAGCATATTTATGTAAAATGATTGTATCTCTGTAAATATTGATCAATTTCTTCAAATTTCGATATGTTGTAGCTAAGACAATTCTCTACAAGCGCAGTAATAACTATTGTTCATTTTGATGACGTCATCATAGTGAAAATTTTGATTAAAGGCCTCATGTCAAAAACTTCATAATTTGCGTGTTATGCCTATAGAAGGTGAATTTAGTTCACGTTATGAATCTACATGATATTGTCTTTTAAGAATTTGTAAGCAGTATGTCGCTTATTTTTGCTCTATTTTGTCTCAAATGTTAGTTGACCAGCCCACCTAACTCTGTTCCAACAAGTATTATATGTCTAGTTTATTTTTCTTTTTCGACCCACTTTTTTGTGAGCAAGATAATTTGAAAATGGCTCAATCAAATATCTTAAAATTTGGCACACATATGTATAGGCATATGAACAAGGCACAGCAAAGTTTTCAACCTTGACCTTGACTGATGACGTCATCTAGCGCCATTTTGTGAAATTTTCTGAAAATTTACTCATGATCATATTTTCATAACGGTAATTCATTTCTCATTCATATTTATCACGATCAAGGTCAATATCAGTCCGGTCAATTTCAGGTCAAAAAAACGCGCGCGTGCGCGTACGTCCGCGCGTCAGTGCGCGCGCAAAATTTTTAAATGCTCAAATTCGTCTTAAATTATTTTGCATACGTTTCAGGTCATTTTAAGCATTTTATAAAAAATCGCGCGTACGAGCATGCGCGCGCGTTTTCGCGCGTAACACCATTAAAAAACATAGAATCGCCATTTTTTTTCTTTCATGATATTTTCTCATAATTTTTTCAAGGAATTTGATTCCATGTTTATCTCTTTATGACCATTATTAACAAGATGAGCGTAAATTCAAGATAATTGTCAGTGCGCGCGAGGTCTTTTAATACATAGCATATATGGGCAAAAACATGCCTATACAAAATCCGTTATAGCTCTTTGGAATGCACGGGATCCTCAATTTTTTTCATATTAAGATAGAGTATGAGTCGGAAATATGATTCCATTCTAGTTTGGCCATTAAGTGTATCGTGACATCATCACAATGGCCTTGGAACTCAAATACGAATTTGCATATTATGACGTCAGCATATTTATGTAAATTGATTGTATCTCTGTAAATATTGATCAATTTTCTTCAAAATTTTGATATGTTGTAGCTAAGACAATTCTCTACAGCGCCAGTAATAACATTTTTCATTTTGATGACGTCATCATAGTAAAATTTGATTAAAGGCCTCATGTCAAAAACTTCATAATTTGCGGTTATGCCTATAGAAGGTGAATTTAGTTCACGTTATGAATCTACATGATATTTGCTTAAGAATTTGTAAGCAGTATGTCGCTTATTTTTGCTCTATTTTGTCTCAAATGTTAGTTGACCAGCCCACCTATACTTGTTCCAAACAAGTATTATATGTTAGTTTATTTTTCTTATTTCGACCCACTTTTTTGTGAGCAAGATAATTTGAAAATGGCTCAATCAAATATCTTAAAATTGCCACACATATGTATAGGCATATGAACAAGGCACAGCAAAGTTTTCAACCTTGACCTTGACTGATGACGTCATCTAGGCGCCATTTTGTGAAATTTTCTGAAAATTTACTCATGATCATAGTTTCATAACGGTAATTCATTTCTCATTCATATTTATCACGATCAAGGTCAATATCAGTCCGGTCAATTTCAGGTCAAAAAACGCGCGCGTGCGCGTACGTCCGCGCGTCAGTGCGCGCGCAAAATTTTTAAATGCTCAAATTCGTCTTAAATTTATTTTGCATTACGTTTCAGGTCATTTTAAGCATTTTATAAAAATCGCGCGTACGAGCATGCGCGCGCGTTTTCGCGCGTAACACCATTAAAAAACATAGAATCGCCATTTTTTTTTCTTTCATGATATTTCTCATATTTTTTCAAGGAATTTGATTCCATGTTTATCTCTTTATGACCATTATTAACAAGATGAGCGTAAATTCAAGATAATTGTCAGTGCGCGCGAGGTCTTTTAATACATAGCATATATGGGCAAAAACATACCTATACAAAATCCGTTATAGCTCTTTGGAATGCACCGGGATCCTCAATTTTTTTCATATTAAGATAGAGTATGAGTCGGAAATATGATTCCATGTCTAGTTTGGCCATTAAGTGTATCGTGACATCATCACAATGGCCTTGGAACTCAAAATACGAATTTGCATATTATGACGTCAGCATATTTATGTAAAATTGATTGTATCTCTGTAAATATTAATCAATTTTCTTCAAAATTTCGATATGTTGTAGCTAAGACAATTCTCTACAAGCGCAGTAATAACCATTTTTCATTTTGATGACGTCATCATAGTGAAAATTTTGATTAAAGGCCTCATGTCAAAAACTTCATAATTTGCGTGTTATGCCTATAGAAGGTGAATTTAGTTCACGTTATGAATCTACATGATATTGTTTTAAGAATTTGTAAGCAGTATTTCGCTTATTTTTGCTCTATTTTGTCTCAAATGTTAGTTGACCAGCCACCTATACTTGTTCCAAACAAGTATTATATGTCTAGTTTTTTTTTGTATTTTATTATTGCAAACTATTGGGTTATTAAGCAGTATGCCTAAAGCCAAGTGGTTTATAGGTCTCCTTGTCATACAGTTAGCATATTACGCTGTAATAATGGCAAACCAAACAAAATGTGAATAATGCCTTTTTAGACCCGGCATGGATTAAAAATGCACAGGCAACCATTTGGTTTAAATCATGTTTGGCCATAGAGATATATACTTAATAAGACCATCTCTATGTGTTTGGCTCATTAGCCTACGCCACTGATTACAACGAATCCTATCAATAAACAATTTTCACGGAGTATAGCTTTCAAGCCATAATAGGTTTATGATTGCCATAGTAGTTTGAGCCCGAGTTTGACTGAGGCAGAGGAGGGGGGGGCCGGGGGGGGGGGGGGGGTGTACTCACATATTAATACATAAGGGGATGTGCCGCTCTTGGGTTGCTTTTTCACACAAAAATCCTTAAACATGGGTCCTTTTTACAAAATTTTGAATTCGGAGCCTATATTTCTGAAAAAAATGCCTTAATGACCCTTAAAAATGGGTAAGGGTTTCGAGGCTTGAGCGGCGCACCTCAGTTCAACCCAAGTCTGATCCCACCCCCGTCCCCCGGATTTCACAAGCTCCCACCTCGCACGTCCCCGCCCCACCCCTGTTAAAAATGCCGAGAAAGAGAGAGAGAGAGAGGGACAGGGGGGGGGGAGAGGGGGAGACAGACTCGGAGGAGATAGAAAGGAAAGGAGCAGAAGGCAAGTTCATCAGACAAACCCCTCACATCCGCTCTATCTTTCATGCGGCCCCAAAAAGGAACCCCCCCCCCCACCCCCCCCCACCCTCCCCCTCACATGGGAATCCTTGTATCCTTCTCCGGGATCCTACTCCGGCACTTAGTGCTCAGTGTGCTGCACGCGATTAAATATAATCTGTTCACTTGGCTTTCCATAGTCAGAAACAATGGCGCTCCTTTTGAGCGAACTATCCTATTTTCTCAAGCCACAAGTTTCGTAAAGTTTCTTAAAGTATGGTTATTATATCATGTTTAAACTGGTTCTTGAAGGTTTAGGATCGAGGTCTACTGCCTGATGATTTCGTGTAAGTTCAATGCTCTTATTTTTATCATAATCAATAGTCTGGACAGAATTCGATACGTTTTGTGTGCAAATGGTCATAAGCGTGATTGAGTAGTTCTGACAGCTACAGCATACACTGTACGGTACACTATGTCTACATAAATTACAGCATGTTTTGTATTCTGGGAAACATCGTCAGATATTTGGAAGTTTAGCTATTATAGTCAAAATTACCTTTGCTAGTTAAAGTTTGTGTTATAGTATTGAATGAATATTCTTATATTGTTGTGTCAGTCAATTAGAGGGCTTTTCTAACAGTTCCGGTTCTAATGATTGAAAGGATTATTTAATTTTGCTGAAACCTGAAGTTATGAGCACAGCTTTTCCATTATCTGTTTCTAGTGGTGATGCCTATATCTATTTGCAATCTATCAAATTATGTTTGCAGTTATAGGAGACAAGCGACAGAGATTCATGGGTTACAATCCGATTACGTCAGATAGATAGCTTGGAAGTGCACAAGTCTGTAAGTTCATTTTGTTGAATAGACATGTAAGGACAGGATATAAGTCTACATAATTTTAGACTGGGAAACTGCCTTGTAAGAATGTTGTATGATATACAATGCTTTGTTCCTAAGTATGGCAAGCCGTTTGCAGACCTCTAAAATGGTCAGGTTTTGTATAGGTACAGTCATTACTAAATATTGTTGCAGTAATTCTCATTATAACTTGAGCATTATTCCATAAATCTTGAAACTGAGAATCTATTGTTTGTTGTGATTTTAAGGTGCATCTGGTAGAAACTTTGAACATAAAGGGATTCACCTATTAAAGTAAATGTACGTTAGTATTTTATGTACTTACCTGTTTGGATTATGATTGATTCATAAGTCTGAATCTGCCTAGTTGGACTGTTGAGAACATAGTTTGTTCTATTATGATCTTTTACATGTATAATTGATGCGATGTTATCATTCATTGTATTTTACAGTTTACCACATTCACGACGTTATGCCGAAGTAAGGCTTGAATAAAGACTAGAGTACAACCTTTCAACTCAATCGTCTTCAAGATTACTTTATTCCGTTGTGAGGTTAGCTACTGGATAGGAGTGTGTGTTAGAGCACCCCGAGGACAGCATAGTAAAAAGACTTAAACGACTTCAACCAGACTACGCAAGGACCCATCATGTCAACGACATCGGAACATCCGCTTCAAGAAAAGGACTCTAGCGAGACGCCTTCACCCTCTACCCAAAGTGCCAATTACGAGACCAAAAGCGTGGCTTCGCGACGGTCTCAATCTAGTAAACATTCTTCTGTTGTCTCAGAGGCACTGCGTGCCCGTGCCAACGCTGAGGCAAGTAAGGTAAGGTTAGAGTTCGCACGTAAAGAAGCCGAACTACAGAAACAAAGGGCTGCTCAGGATGCCGAGCTTTTTGTATTGGGAGCAGAAAGAGATGCTGCTATGGCCGAAGTACAAGTCTCGGTTTTTGAAGAAGGACTTGAAGACTTCGGGGAGTCTGTGAAGAGTGTGGATTTAGTTCTTCCACAAAAGGACTCTAGGGAACGTGTGGAAGAATTTTTGTTATCTTGTGATGCAATTAAGAATGTAGATGGTAATGTTCAAGCAAATATTAACAAAATCTCCCACAAGACACACCCTATTTCCTCCCAACATCCCGAAGAAATGGTAATGGATCAAGAAGGTGAAATGCAAACAGAATGTAATACATCCCCTAATGTTGTTCCTACTTGCTCCCCTCTGCCTCTTGAAATGGAAAATGGTCAAAAGGGATCAAAGGTTGTAGATAATGCCTCTAATGTAGTTCTTACTACTCCTTCACATGTAGAAACTGTAGTTGGAATTTCTGATTTAAGTAACATGTTGCTGAAGAAAGAATTGATAACTAGTGGCTTGAGAAAATTTAATGATCATGCATTTAGTTACAGGTCTTGGAAAGCCTCTCTCAAACAAGTAACCACAGAGCTTAAGTTGAAGCCCTTTCAAGAGATGGATTTGATAATTAGGTGGTTGGGCAAGGAGTCTTCCCAGTTGGTCTCAGCTATCTATGACATACATGTTGATAAGCCAAAGATTGGTCTTGATAGAATGTGGGAACTCTTAGACAGGAAGTATGGGTCCCCAGAGGCAATTGAACAGGATCTTCATCAAAGGATTGAAGACTTTCCCAAACTAACACAAAAGGACTATGAAAAGCTAGAGCAGTATGGTCATTTGCTCTTAGAGATTGAGTATGCCAAAGATAATGGAAATTTCCCAGGGTTGTTGCATTTGGACTCGGCAAGAGGGTTACATGGATTGGTCCAGAAGCTGCCACATAGCCTCCAAGAGAGATGGGTAATGGAGGGCTCTCGGTACAAGGAGAGGAACCATGTGACCTTCCCGCCTTTCAAGGTCTTCAGCGAGTTTGTCCGCTATCAGGCAAAGATTCGGAATGACCCTAGCTTCATAATGCCTCGTGACACAAAGCAACAGGATGTTACAAGAAGAATGGTCAGTGTCAGAGCTACGGATGTAAAGACTGTTAGTTCTACAGCATCAAAGGTCTTTTGCCCCATTCACAAGAAGAATCACTCAATCTTAGAGTGCAAGGCATTTCTTGCGAAAACAGTTCCTGACAAGAAGACTGTCCTCAAACAATACCAACTTTGTTATAGGTGCTGTTTTCCAGGACACGCAGCACGAGAGTGTAAAGCTGAGGTTAAATGCGACTCGTGTGGTAGCCAACGCCACCAAACAATTCTACACTATGAGTATCGCAATGACTCACCAAAGAGTTCGCAGAAAGCTGTAGACACCCCTCCATCCCAAATTACCAATGCATGCTCCAAAGTGCAGGGTACAAGATGCATCGGTAGCAGATCTTGTGCGAAGATTGTTCCTGTCTTCGTCAGGTCAAAGAGGGATCAGAAGGTTGTCAAGACGTACGCCATCATAGATGATCAAAGCAACAAGACCATAGCTACATCGCAACTTTTAGACAAGTTTGATATTGACTATGGTAGGGTAAGTTACACTCTACGCACTTGCAGTGGAGAAGTGTCAGCTCAAGGAAGGTATGCTGATGAATTTGTGGTAGAGGATCTAAATGGCACTGTCTGTTTGAGTTTGCCAACGGTCACTGAGTGTGCTTACATCCCTGATTTCAAAGATGATATTCCAACACCTGAGATAGTTCAAGCATATGATCATCTAAAAGGCATTGAGATTCCAGAGATTGATCATGAATGCACAGCAACTCTTTTGATAGGAAGGGACGTGATGGAAGCACACCATGTCCTAGATCAAAGGATTGGGCCTCCTAACTCGCCGTTCGCACAAAGGCTGAAGCTTGGCTGGGTTATCATTGGTGACGTATGCCTTCAAGGGATTCATCGGAGTGACAAGCACTCGAATAGGATTTCCCTGTTGCGTACTCAGGTGCTCTCTACAGGACGGCCTACATACCTGGAACCCTGTCCAAATGAGTTCCAAATGAAACACTTGTTTGACAATGAGGACGATACCATGAGTCTGGCTATAGAGGAGCAACGGTTTGTAGATCTTATGGTGGAAGAGGCAGGCCTAAAGAATGGAAAATGGACAGCTCCGTTGCCCTTCAAGCAGCCGAGAGATCGTCTGCCTAACAATCGTCAACAAGCTTTCAAAAGAGCGCAGATTCTCAAAGCGAGCATGGAAAAGAATCACCTCAAAAGAGAGCACATGACCACATTCATGGCAAAGGTCTTATCTGAAGGCCACGCGGAGGTGGCTCCCTCTCTGCAAGAAAACGAAGAGTGCTGGTACCTGCCAATGTTTGGGGTGTATCACCCAAGAAAGAAAGACAAAATCAGAGGCGTCTTTGATTCTTCGGCGGAGTTCATGGGACACTCTTTGAACAAGGTTCTGTTGAAAGGTCCAGACCTTACCAACGATTTGGTTGGGGTGTTGATGAGGTTTCGGCAAGGACCGGTTGCAGTCTGCGGGGACATTGAGTCGATGTTCTACTGTTTTTCAGTATCCGAAGAACACAGGAATTTTCTCAGATTCTTCTGGCACGAAGACAATGATTTTGCCAAACCCCTCACGGAGTATCGTATGCTGAAGCATGTGTTTGGCAACACTCCATCTCCAGCTGTAGCGAATTATGGTCTGAGGGACCTAACCAGTGACGCTGAACCAGACGTTAGGGACTTTGTTCACAACAATTTCTATGTGGATGATGGACTCGCTGCATTAGACCGCGGGCCGAGGTGCATTTTCTTTTCATCTCGTGCCTCAAATTTGTATCTAGCTGTATTTTGGTCAACATGTTTAAAAATATTTATTACAGTCACATCTGAAACTCGTCAGTAACAAAACTTGCACATTTTCTGAAAATATCAAAAAACACAAAACAAATTTGAGACAATTTTTCACTTTCTACGGTAAGAATGACCAATCACAATACGTTGCTGATAGCATGATGTGTGGAGTGACTGGCTTTTGGCCAATCATATTCTTTGTTTTATGCGCACGCCTATGCGACTTTTACTGTGCACTGCGACTTTCACTGTGTACTATGGCGACTTCTGCGTCGTTTGATGCCAGTGAGACGGACAATTCTGAGGCTGGTGAATCCGCTTTCTGTTCCATACATGTCATCGATACTCAGAGCAAGATTATACCATTTAGTGATAAAAGCTATCAAAAGTGTAAGGAGTGTGCAGCTAAGTGGGTAATCGTGGAAGAGAGTTTAGAAAGTGAAGTTGCAGAGAAGTTGCAAGAACACGTACACGAAAGTGAAGGTGTGGGACAAGTCGGTCTTCAGTCATCGACAACAAGCAGGTAAGTTATCACCTAATATATTGGTATAGATCTAGATATCTAGGCCTGCATGAAATGAAAAGTGTTCACATTTTCCCCGAAAATAAAAATTGCACTTGAAAAAAGAGCAGAAATTACAAATTTGGTCTAGAGTAGTAGAGAACAGACTAGATCTAGACCTCTCATCTACTATGTCTATGGTCCTGGATTACAGGATAGATTTTCTAGGTCTAGATCTACTACTACTAGACCCTGTCCCTACTACTACTGTCTAGACCCTCTACTTTTTTTCGTCTACAGATAAATTATAAAATAGTCTAATTCTTGACTCTTGCTTGTGTCAAGAAATTAAGCCATTTACATAGGCCTAACTACTTAAACTAGGTCCAGCAGTTCTTGTATTTTAGCAGATTGAACTTTAATAGAAATTATTTATTAGTCTACATCTCTCACATTTTCTTTTACTAGGGAGCACCATACTCGGCTTCGAGGATATCATGCTGAATGTTACCGACACTTTTGCAACGTAACGACAATCAGTAGAGCATTGACAAGACTTCAGAAGAAGAGAGGTAATAAACAATGATTAAATGCTGCTAAAATAATTTAAACAGTACAGTACAAAGACAAAGAAGAGAAGGAGAGTGTTTGATCTGTGCGTGTGTGAGGCAGTGCAAAAGAAGACACCGGTAGGTGCAATTGTGCAATAATTGTTCTGCATCTACACATTTAGATCTACTGGCGATTTCAAGTTCAGTGTCAAAAGCCACAACACTGAACTTGAAATGCGGCTGGTGTTGGAATTGACCTCGGAAAATATGTTGTTGAATGTTGTCTGCTGAACCGAGTATCATGGTTCGCTTTGACGATTTATTTGTTATTTCCCTATTCCCCAACACAAATCGCCTAGAGATTGGGAAATTTGTGATTTGAAGTTCGGTGTTGGTGTTGGTGATCTTAAGATCATGAACCAAATGATAACGTCACAGCAAAGTTAAGCGAAATCCAATTTACAGTCAAAATGTTTTACAAATCATCAGAGCTATATATGTGTCTATTTTCTAAAGATTAATAACATTTTCTCTTTTGATTTGAAAATACGATTTTAGATTTTACATCCTGTTTGATGAAATTTGAATGCCATTTCTCACTGATTTCACTTTCGTTGTATAGCCTTTTCGCTTGAAATCGTGAGTGGATCACATAAAAGGCGTGACATCACTCAGTATTGAGCTATTTCTCAAGTACAGTCAGTGTTGGAGCTTGGTTCAGCAGCTTGATCCACACTTTCAACACCAACACCACATTGAGTTATATATTCAGAAAATCAGAATGATTTTGATAAAATTGGTTTTAATCAGTATTTTTTCCCCTGTCTGTTCCTTTCTTCCTTCTCTTTTTCTTGTTAAACCCACAGATGCTGAGAAGACATCTACAGAAGATCCAGAGGAAGTGTCAGCAAGTGAGGATGCCCCTGCACCCAAGAGACTGCTGCGGTCGAGAGTATCCCATGAAAATCAACCCTCTACCAGCCATGACTTTGATAAGCCGCATGTATTGCCAGTCCATTGCATTATCTGCAAAGGAGCTAAGTATATCCGCGAACAGTCTTCTGGTAAACGGAAGGTAGAAAAATTAATTCTTTGTGAAAGAAAAGATGGGGGGCATCTGTTAGAGGCCGCTTTATTAAAGCAAGATGAACAATTGCTTTTACACATACGTGGGAAAGATCTTGTTGCAATAGAAGTAAGGTACCATAAATCGTGCTATTACAGGTATACAAAAGTTGTGAAGAGATGTAATACTTATAAACAGGATACTCAGCAAACAGTAATATATGATAAGTCATACTCTAGTTTCTGCAAAAAGGTAATTGAGGAAAGGATAATGAAAAATAAGGAGATCCTTAGGCTGACTAAGCTGAAAAATCAGCGTCAGGGAAAGGACGGTCACGTTGCTCATGTCAACAGCATGGCATTCCATGTACAGAGTTGTGTAGATGTGTCAATTGCAGGAACTCTATCTCTGCAAAGGAGGTTGAATCAGATGAAGAAGATTCAGATGGAGAATAAGCATTCCCCTAGCAATGCAATTTGTATTTCACATTGAATAAAGAAGAAAAAGCTAGAATTTCAAAATGATTCTTGAACTACACCCATGTTAGATTTAAGTTTGTATCCTGGATGATTACACTCTGTGTGTTGTAGTTGATGAAAGGCAAAATGCTTACAAAATGAAAAAGGAAAATGTGTATTACTTGCAAAATAATCATTAAATCTGTCATGACACCCGTGATGATTTCTCTTTATTCTTTGCTTACTTTCATATGTTTTTTTTCCTTTAAATAAAAAGAGTGTAAACACAGGATGGATATACTTGCCTTCTGAAAAATGACAAGATCACAAAACAAAGTGATTTAAGCATTAATGTGTCATTTATGTTCTTTTGTTATACTCTATTCAATATGTCACAGTTATTATTGACCCCTGAGCTGATTAACACAACTTTGAATCATTCATTAGCCAAATCAAAATTAAAACTAAAACAAATACATACATATATTTTTTTAAAGGACAAGAAATTCAAATTTTCCTATTGTCAGAAATCTGTAGGTTTATTATTCCTGATTTGCTAATTTGAAGAAAACCTGTTGTCTCACTTCTCCATTGCAGTAAAATATACATGCACATGTATATTGTGATGACAAGAGTTTGTAGCATTGTAACATCAATACGCCAATACCTATATGATAGTTATCCTTCCATGCAAAAACAGGGTAAAGATATGAATATACCAATTTCTGTTCAAACACAGTTGTTTGGGACAACTAAGGTCACACTTGTATGATGTTGTATTTTACTGTTCATGTGATTTATATGAAAACTTTAGAGATTGATGAGGCTTAAAAATTTATAACCACTTTGAATATATAGTCATTTACAGTATTTGTGAGGTAAATGTATATACTTCCAGCAAAATGTTTTTGATGCCCAAGTCTAGTAGTGGTTTATTGACTGCACTGCACATTCAATTGTTTATGGTACATAGTCATTTAGACAAACATAACATGAATCCATTGTTACCATGTTTCACTCAGGTGTACATGTACATGTAAATGGGTACCCATCTAACCAGAGCAGTACATATTTTGTTGCTAGGTATTACTACATGCAGGTAAAGAGAAGTGTCATAAAGCATAACAAGTGCTCTATAAACAGGAACCAATATTTTATTTTGAAAATTCCTGATACATGTTGAGTAATGGTCATTCCCTTTGTCATTCTGGAAAGTATTTGTTCTTCATGTATTTTTTTTTCATCATGACTTGACACTGAAAGTTGTTTCTCAATATGTTAATGTAAGGGAAGAAAATACTTGTAGATGTCGGGAGATAAATGTGTTTTTTGCCTCTATTCACTGCTAAATAAATACATTGTACCATTGTAGGTATAGATTTGAACTGGACATGTAAGTATTTTGTTCCATTGTGAAAAAATATTCTAATTGTGCACTATCGGAGGATTGAGATTAAGTAGTTCACAATTTTGTAAATACCATGATTAGTAATTGAAATGTATTCACGTTTAAGTTTATGTTTTATGCTGTACAAATGTGGGTATCTGGCAATTCTTGTTTTTGTCATCAACGTAATGGAGGGAAAATATTGTTAAAAATATAATTAAATCATCAAATCATCAAAGGCAAGTAGCAAGGAAGTTGATTTATGTCTGGTTTCCATGCCTTGTATGAATCAATAATGGATTTTCTCCCTCTAACAGTACACAATGATATTGAACATTTGAAAGTCATTGTATGAATTAATTCTCTGTATTGCTAGTACAGTAGACTTATACTTGTTCAAAATCTGTTGGGGCAGTTTAATAGATTTGGTATTAAGGAATGAGTTTGATCATTGTTATGAAAAAAACAAAAACAAAACTGCCTGGAAATTTCCTTTAAGAGCCAGAAAAGTGTACCTCATCATGAATACAATTTATTTTTCTTACAATGAATCTACTTCATACTATGCATTACGTCTACTGCCCCCCCCCCACCCCATTGTCAAAACTTCCTGTGATTTTGCAATGTATTTGAGATACATGTAGTTAAAAGATGATTAAAAATATTGATTGAATATGGAAATTTTGGCTTATCTATCTTGACACCTGTTCAAATTGTGTTTTAATGTAAATTAATTTATTGGATTGTTTGTGTGTGTGTGTGTATGCACTGTATATATATATAGAGAGAGAGAGAGAGAGAGAGAGAGAGAGGGGGGCAGACATACAGCCAGAGAGAGAGAGAGGGTGAAGTTTTCAGTATAAGTGTGGGGGGTGCTATATTTGTGATGGGATACCGAAGGATGGTTCAAGTTGTGTAGTAAGTGATGAATACTGGTAGTCAAAATGCATTGAAACCATGATTATACTCATTAAAAGATGTGCATCCTCATGTGCACACATCGATATCCCCCCAAAGAAATAAAAACAAAAATGAATAAATACATAAATAAAAGTACCACAGTCTACCAAAGTCCCCATTATCTCCTGACCCCCCCCCCCCTCTTTTCCCCTTCTCTCCCCTCTCTATTAATCTCTCTCTTTATTTATCTCTATTTATTTTCAAGATTGTTTTTGTTTGTTGTTTAATCAAAGGGGGAAGTCCATCCTGAATAGAAGCAGAAAAAAGTTACATTGTGGAGTTGTCGAGTTGTGTTTCATTAATCACACCTTCAAAAATTGATAACTTGCTTACTTTCAAAACTTGCTGAAAACTTTCACTGTCGTCTTCCTTTCATTTTTCTGACTTTATTTAAACTAAAATATTTGTTAGGATGGACTTAACCTTTAAATAAAGAAAAATATAACACCAACCATTCCAAGACAGACTTGGGTGTTATTCCCTGGGTGAAACAAAACCTCCAAGTCCAATAAAATCCTGTGGAACCCATTAGCACAACACAGATCTCAAGATTTGAACACAAGAGGGCGCTGTAACTTTTTTAAATTAGCATAATTAATTAATGTGCAACTTATTGCACTGACGAGTTATCAATTGTTATTCAATGATTTTTGTTCTATTGAGTAACAAAAATTTAGGTATATACAAGAGTTGAGGCACGAAAATGAAAAATAAGCCACATATTTGATCTATGGCCCGCGGTCTACATGTGATGACAGCAACACAGCTGTTTCACTCATGGAACGAACACGAGCCAAGCTAAAGGAGAAAGCTGGTATTCGCCTGCACAAAATTGCATCCAACTCTCAAGTAGTACTCGATGCCTTTGAGCCAGAGGAGGTTCAGAAGGATATTAGGAACCTCACGCTGAGTGATGGGGCCCCTACACAAAGGAGTTTGGGTGTTCAGTGGAATTTGAAGGACGACACCTTCATTTTCCAAATCGAGTTAGCGGCAAGACCCTACACAAAACGAGGAGTTCTGTCTATGATCAATGGCGTGTTTGATCCTCTGGGTTTCCTTGCCCCGGTCATGGTACAAGCAAGAGTCCTGTTCAGAGAAATGACTACTCACCAGGTGGATTGGGATGACAAGCTCCCTGAAATGTACAAGTCCGTCTGGGAGTCTTGGACCTCTGGGCTATCTGAGCTGCAATCAGTGTCAGTTCCTCGCAACTACCCCATCTGCCTAGAGAATGGTGTCTTGAATGTCTATTGTGATGCATCCGAAGTCGCGGTTGCTGCCGTCGCATACTTGATAGATGTGGACCAAGAGAAACCCAGTGCGAGTTTTGTCTTTGGAAAGTCGAAGCTAGCTCCAAGATTAGGTCACACCATACCAAGACTGGAGCTCTGCGCTGCAGTCTTAGGAACAGAAATAGCCAGAATTGTGTGTAGAGAGTTGAATATTCAGGCTTCGACTGTGGTTTTTCACTCCGACAGTAGGATTGTTCTTGGGTATTTGAATAACACAGTCAGAAGATTCCATACCTATATAGCGAACCGGGTTCACAAGGTTCTTAGTTTCTCCCAACCCTCACAATGGAGGTATGTGCCTACATCCAATAACCCTGCTGACTTTGGTACCCGTCCGGTTTCAGCTCGGTCTCTGAAAGACTCTCCATGGCTTATTGGTCCGCAGAAGCCAGCTACTCAAGAAGTAGAGGATCCTGTATCGGAATTCCCACTGGTAGATCCCGACCGAGATGAAGAAATAAGACATGATGTGAAAATCCAGGTCACAAAAACCAATTTGGAGTTGCGAAGACTTGTTTCACGGTTTGAAAAGTTCTCAACATGGAACAGCCTAGTTAGAGCTTTCGGTCTACTTGTACACATTGCTTGTTCGTTCAGCTCTAGGAGCGGCAACGGTCGGTGCCATGGCTGGCACGTTTGTGGTGCTACAGACGTAGAGCTCGTACGTCGTGTCAAGACAATGATAGTGAAGGAAGTACAGGAGCAGTTCTTTCACGAAGAATATGAATGTCTCAGAGAGGGTGTGCCTCTACCCTCTAACTCCACTATCCGGGACTTATCACCCATCTTGAATCAAGACGGTTTGATATGCGTTGGTGGGCGCTTGAGGAAGTCCTCGCTTCCAGTGGTGATGAAGCATCCGGTGCTGATACCAGGAAAGAGTCACATTGCCAAACTTCTTGTACTACACTATCACAATAATGGGCATTCTGGCAGACAGTTGACAGAAGGTGCTTTGCGGGACGCGGGCTTTTGGATAACTGGGGGCAAGAGAGTTATATCGTCTGTTATCCATCGTTGTGTGAACTGCCGTAAACTCAGAGGTAAGACCGCGCTCCAACGCATGGCTGATCTTCCCCAGGAGCGTCTGAAGGCTGGACCTCCTTTTTCACAGGTTGGCGTAGACTGTTTCGGGCCTTGGGAAGTGGTCACCAGAAAGACCAGAGGAGGTGCTGCTCAAAGCAAGAGGTGGGGAATGATATTCTCCTGTCTCACTTCTAGGGCTATTCATATCGAAGTTCTTGAGGAAATGAGCACTTCGTCATGCATCAACGCACTTCGACGATTTATGGCTGTACGAGGCAAGGTTGAGACTTTTTGGTCCGATAGAGGATCAAACTTTGTGGGAGTGTTGAACGACAAGGTGTTTCATACTTATCTGGAGAGGAACGACACCGAATGGAAGCTAAATCCTCCCCATGCCCCTCACATGGGAGGAGTCTGGGAGAGAATGATTGGTTTGTTCAAGGGAATTCTTAATGGTATCTTACTCGAGGCAAAACAGAGGGACCTTACACACGAGACTTTGGCCACCTTCATGATGGAAGCTATGGCTATTGTCAATGCTCGACCTCTCGTCCCATTGAGCTCTGATCCAGAAGACACTTCCTTCCTCTCACCATCTATGCTTTTGACTCAGAAGCATGGGAGCATAGAAGAGGTACTTGTCGAAGATTGCACCCGTAACATGTACAAGGCTCAATGGAAAAGAGTGCAAATTCTAGCCGACCGGTTTTGGAAACAGTGGAGACTGCGCTACCTGCAAAGTCTTCAGCAGAGGCGCAAATGGATAAGCACGGAAAGGAATGTCAAGAAAGGTGACATAGTGTTGTTGAGAGACAAGGAGGTCAAAAGAAACCTTTGGCCTTTGGGCATCATTGAGAGTGTTAGTCCTGGAGATGATGGTTTGGTTCGTCAAGTGCAAGTTCGTCTGCCCTCGACTGGAAAAACCTTTTGCAGACCGATTCATGAGTTGATTTTGTTGGTCGAGGCGGAATAGATACCTGTTCTCACTCCAATCTTGGCATGCTTGGACTTAAGTTATTTGTGGAAAATCTTGTACAATTTTACAGTTTATGGGCGGTGATATTTTAGCAATTATTGCTCTGTCAGTTTTAACGTCTATTGGACGTTGGGGGGAGTGTGCTGCACGCGATTAAATATAATCTGTTCACTTGGCTTTCCATAGTCAGAAACAATGGCGCTCCTTTTGAGCGAACTATCCTATTTTCTCAAGCCACAAGTTTCGTAAAGTTTCTTAAAGTATGGTTATTATATCATGTTTAAACTGGTTCTTGAAGGTTTAGGATCGAGGTCTACTGCCTGATGATTTCGTGTAAGTTCAATGCTCTTATTTTTATCATAATCAATAGTCTGGACAGAATTCGATACGTTTTGTGTGCAAATGGTCATAAGCGTGATTGAGTAGTTCTGACAGCTACAGCATACACTGTACGGTACACTATGTCTACATAAATTACAGCATGTTTTGTATTCTGGGAAACATCGTCAGATATTTGGAAGTTTAGCTATTATAGTCAAAATTACCTTTGCTAGTTAAAGTTTGTGTTATAGTATTGAATGAATATTCTTATATTGTTGTGTCAGTCAATTAGAGGGCTTTTCTAACAGTTCCGGTTCTAATGATTGAAAGGATTATTTAATTTTGCTGAAACCTGAAGTTATGAGCACAGCTTTTCCATTATCTGTTTCTAGTGGTGATGCCTATATCTATTTGCAATCTATCAAATTATGTTTGCAGTTATAGGAGACAAGCGACAGAGATTCATGGGTTACAATCCGATTACGTCAGATAGATAGCTTGGAAGTGCACAAGTCTGTAAGTTCATTTTGTTGAATAGACATGTAAGGACAGGATATAAGTCTACATAATTTTAGACTGGGAAACTGCCTTTGTAAGAATGTTGTATGATATACAATGCTTTGTTCCTAAGTATGGCAAGCCGTTTGCAGACCTCTAAAATGGTCAGGTTTTGTATAGGTACAGTCATTACTAAATATTGTTGCAGTAATTCTCATTATAACTTGAGCATTATTCCATAAATCTTGAAACTGAGAATCTATTGTTTGTTGTGATTTTAAGGTGCATCTGGTAGAAACTTTGAACATAAAGGGATTCACCTATTAAAGTAAATGTACGTTAGTATTTTATGTACTTACCTGTTTGGATTATGATTGATTCATAAGTCTGAATCTGCCTAGTTGGACTGTTGAGAACATAGTTTGTTCTATTATGATCTTTTACATGTATAATTGATGCGATGTTATCATTCATTGTATTTTACAGTTTTACCACATTCACGACGTTATGCCGAAGTAAGGCTTGAATAAAGACTAGAGTACAACCTTTCAACTCAATCGTCTTCAAGATTACTTTATTCCGTTGTGAGGTTAGCTACTGGATAGGAGTGTGTGTTAGAGCACCCCGAGGACAGCATACTCAGTACCACACCCCCTCCCCTGTTGAGCCAAAATAACGGTCTGCGCGATTTTCGAATTTCCGGGCCACCCCCCCCCCCCCCCCCCCCCCCCCCCCACCCCCAACCCCCAGGCCCTTATTGGAAAATCCTGGATTGTTGAGCCTATCCTTTGAAGAAAAAATATGATACACGTAATGGTCTTCCTTGGGCTCGGGTTTAAATTGATTTTTTTTTTTTTTTTTTTTTTTTGGGGGGGGGGGGGGGGGGTATCTGTACGGTTTGGGTAAAAAAACCTCGACGGGGAGTATGCTGTCACCTCCAATCAAATTTTAGCGTTAATTTAGTACCGGTACGCGCACCACGGCCACGTAGGTACACGCGCATTGCGCATGCTCAAATCACACCGGCACCATACCACGTGGGGCGCAAAATTCATGCAAGATGGTTTCACATCTCGATCTCTAAAATAATGTGGTAGATCTAGCCTACCTTGTTTGACTTTTACACAGAGCCAGAACTTAAAACTTGAACTCCAATTCAGATATATGCCTTGTGGTCTATGGATCTATCTCTGCCAAAGCCTTTTGGCATGTTCGGCAAATTTCCGGACATATCCAATGAGATTTTTGTTGACCGTAGACAGTCAGTAGGCTACAGGTGAGTACAAACGTCTCAGCAGCAGCAGAGTCTGATGACAGTCAGAGAGGCAAGAACACTAAAACTAAATTACTAAAGACAAAAGTTGTGAGCAAACGTTTATAGAGAAGTCTATTTTAGCAGCCTTTGCCTTTGGCATCTGTTTTTTGTCTAACAAGTTAGATCTAATAGCAACAAATATTAAGTCAAAATTACAGTGTAGGCCCTAGATCTAAATAGGGGCCTAGACCTCTACTAAATATAGGGTGTGGTACTGGTATAGGCTAGATCTAGTCTAGATCTAGTCTAGGCCTAGAATAGAGACGTCGAGAGAGTCTTGGAGTGGAGATTATGGGCCCCGTCTACTCTTGATTCAAGACCCAATAAAACCGGGCAAATCAATCGCAAGTCAACCATGACCAATCAATCGGAGATTATGGGCCACGTCTACTCTTGATTCAAGACCCAATAAAACCGGGCAAATCAATCGCAAGTCAACCATGACCAATCAATCGGAAATTTGCTGTCTCCAATTCTTGTGTAGATGATAGATCTAAGTTAGGCCTAGGTCTAGTTGCGATTGATATCAATCGCAAATAAGTTGCAATCAATATAGATCTAGATCTAGTCTAGTCTAGTGTCTAGGCCTAGATCTAGGCCTAGGCCTAATTCAACTCTTTTAAAGACGGGGTCCCGGTCCTGGAGTGGACTCTAAATTTCAAGAGACGTCATCGAGGCCGCGCCGAGACGAGAGACAGTCTAGCCTCTAGGCTCTAGCCTAGGTCTAACTCAGTTTAATACGTCACTGTAGGCCCTAGGCTAGATCTACTACTTTTTGTACTAGGGTCTAGTGCTAGTTGTAGACTCTAATATAGATCTAGATCTAGTATTAGTAGACTACTGACTAGATCTAGATCTAGTCTAGGCTAGGCCTAGATCTAGGCCTACTAGTACTGTTATTTATTGTTAGTGTTAGATGGTTTACAATTTGTATATAGGTCTAGGGGGTCTAGCCTAGACCTAGATCTAGTCTAGGTTCTCCGACTTCTAGACCAGTTTTAGATCTACTTCTAGATGTAGACCTAGATCTAACTTTAGATTCTATTTCTTAAATTGTGTTTTTTCCTTTCCTTGTGTCTTTTCCTTGGGGGGGAGGGTAGACCTACTTTTATTACTGTGCTTTCCATCAATCCATTTAGATCTAGATCTAGATCTAGGCCTAGATCTAGATCTATGTTTTAACTTTAATGTCGATCTTGCCAAGACAAGAGTTTACTGAGTCTATGAATTGTTATTATATTTATCATTAAGGCCTAGATCTAGGCTAAAAGGTTAACATATTAAAGGCTGTAGGCCTAGAATTCTAGGCCTAGATCTAGATCTATTGTTGGTAAGAAGTCTATTTTAGGAAATATTTTGCGCCGACTCAGCAAGCCGTGGGGGGGGGGGGGGATTGTAAGAAGCAATTTTTAAAATTATTTTTGGTTCAATTTTATTGGAAATATTTTGAAAAATGTATTCAAATTATGCTTTAAAAAACCTCAAATTATGCCAACATTTTGCTAACAGCCCAATTATGCCAGGCGTAATGCCAGATACTATTACTAAAACTAAAAGGGTCAAAATTATGCCAGATCTGGCACCGTTGCAACGTGGGGCCGAAATTTTTCACTCTTTGAAGTTGAAAATAAACGAGAAAAAGTAAAAGATTTAAAAGACGACTAGAATACTGTATGAAATACAGCGCCGACCGATGTTTCGCTCAGTGGGGGGGGGGGGGGGGGGGGGGGGGGGGGGGGGGGGGGGTGGTAGTGAAAGCATTGTGTTCTTTTTATTTTTTTTGCCCCTGGAAATGTAAAAATCGCGCCGACCGATGTTTCGCTCAGTGGGGGAGGGGGGGGGGGGGGGTAAGGAGCCTTTTTTTTTTTTTTACTCAACACCCCACACCCCTTGAGCAACAACACAAAAATTGAGGGGGGTTACCCCCCCCCCCCCCCCCCCCCCCCCCCCATGCGTACGCGCCTGACCAGGGGCAACGAGCATCGTTCGTTTCTTTGTGGGCATCGGGAAAATGAAAGCCCCGAGATCACCTCTGCGATGATAATTTTGTCTCGTCGCCAGAGAACTCGGTAATAATTTGCTTACTACATGTATAGACTATAGTACTTACAGAATACTTACATACAGAGCGCGCTTAGCGCGCTCCCTAGGGGAATGGGTGCAGGGATGGGGGAGTCCCCCCACCCCGCGAAGCGCGGAAGCTCTGACGTTTCATTAGATTATTAAAGAAAGAAGACGATTCGTTTTTCCGTTCTGGACTCTAATTCCTTGTCTGAATTCAGTCCCCCCCCCCCCCCCTCCCGCGCGAAGCGCGGGAACTTAGGCGTTTCATTAAATTATTAGAGACAGAAGACGATTCGTTGTACCGTTCTCGACTCTTAATCCTTTTCTTTCTACATCCTCTTCCTTTCTTCTTTTTTTTTTTGGGGGGGGGACCGCCCCCACCGCCCCCTTGGCTACAACCATGTTACTTCGGTTTACCTCCTCAAAGTTCATTGTGATAGATCTACTACTAGAGAGTATACAGGCCCATGACAATGAATTCGTTTGCGATTTTTCCTAACAAAATTATCGAAGGCGATGTGTTTAACTTTAAAGACTACGTGCAAATATGACATACCAAAATGTCCCCAAGGGAGGCTTGTACCCGGTCTTTTTACCCTTGGTCGACGAAACCGCCGATGTAATACTACCCAACCCTGCTCAGAGACATTGGTGTGTACCCCGCCCCACGCGATTGAGGAAAAGCGCGAGTAAATAGGGGCCGCATGCCCCCTGCCCGGCTTGCCCTTTTATTCACCCTTTGTCATGATCTGTATTCTCTATCGGGCTTGTCTTCCTAGTTTTCTTCTACCTTTTCTTCTTCCTTTTCTTCTTCTTTAAATTTCTCCATCTTGGTGAGTGTTATAAAGGAACGCATACGTAGATATGTGGTCTACAGTGTGTTTTATTTCTGACTTGAACCATTGATGGGGGGGGGGCTGGTTCATGCACTGGAAAGGGCAAATTGATGTCAACTCACAGTGGATAACCATCGCTAGCACGGGAACATTTGTCGAGAAAGGTAATTTTAATGATATACATGTAATGACACAATCCATACAGGCTGAAATACGATATTCCAGTATGCATCAATGGGAGTCATAATCGGCTCATTAAAAAAAGGGAAAATACGACCTGAGCTGAGTTGAAGCGACTTCAATCACCACACACATCCTCCCCTCCCCCAGTCCGCCGGGGCAGGAGGGCCTGTCTACGCCTCTTTTTTTTTTCTCAAGGTAGAGCCCTCAGAAGAACCTTGCATTTCCCGCTCATTTTAATTTCCACCACACACGAAACGCGGAAAGTGATTTGAACTCCCGAAAGTCGACCATGTTTGTGTCTACCATTGCCATGGATTTTGCTCTCGAAATTTGACCGCTATTGTTACATTCAATTTAGGATCCGATGACTGAAGATACACCATGCAATGTAGTCGATGGATACCCACATGATTGGATTTAGACAGCGCGTCTCGTATGCACCTAGCAACCATTTGTATCCTGGAACCAGATGTCTGCCGTGTTTCTAACATGTTGGAATCGGCTAAGAGTTGGTCTCCCATCTTCCAGGGATGGTCAGATGGTAGGATTTGCTCCATTATACGATGGTAGGAACATCCGTAGACGGAGAATGCTAGTCATCAGGGCCGTGCTACTAGTTTGTGTTTCATTCATGCTAAAAGATGGCCTTTTTTAATTGAATAACTTTTTGTCTATTCGTCTGTTCATGTTAAACCAACTTCATCAGTGTAGTCAGAGAATGCAGGAAGCGCTTCCTGGTCAGGTCTAGGGGCATGTTGCCGACCAACTTCGATTAGCTGCAGAGCAGCCATCATATCAATCATGTAAGTATTGGATACGCCTTTCTTGCATGTTATATAACAGTTATTAGCATCCTGCCTGATGAACAGTGAATTCAATCTTAGGACGTTGAAAAGGTTTTGAAATCGCACTAATCGGATACCAGTAGGCTTACATTGAATTTGGGCTTAATTGCAGAATACCCGAATTTTGATAATCTTATAAAATTATTATTTTAATGATCGACATGATGATGGAAAGTATTCTGTATCAACGATATACCCCAATGTTCATCATCATAAATAATATACAAAAATATGTTCCTAACTTCCTTATACTTTTTATAATCTGTCGATTTTTCTTGTCCTATGTATGTCAGTATTTTTTTTATAAAT